ATGTGCCAAATCTCACATCTGAACCTCCCAAGACACTACTTTTGAATTGGAATCAGCTTGCTGAAGGAGGGACAGGTACCAAGACCTCCCCTCTGGATTTCCTCTGTGTGTGTGTGTGTGTGTGTGTGTGTGTACAGCTTTTTTATTGCTCACAGTGGGAAGTTAAGTCTAAAACAACCTAGTCCACCACTGTCAGAACACAATTCCCAGTTGTTGTGATTTTGATTTTTATCATGTAAAATTTCAAGAGAGGTGAAAGCAAATAGGCTAAGATAATAAATTGCCATGTGCTGGTTGCCCAGTCTAAATAATGTTCAACTACTGCCACTCTTGCTGCTTTTATACCCCTTTTCCCCCTCCCCATATTATTTTACAGCAAATCTAAATCACATTTTTCATTAAAATATTTCATTGTATATTTCTATAAGATAGGATTTTTCCAATATAATAATATCAATATTTGGCCTAAAAGTAATAACATTTCCATAGCCAGTGCTGAATCAATTGTTTAAATACTCCCCTTGTGAACCTGAACGGTTGGCCAAGGACCATCAGGCATTATCTTCAAAATATAAGAAGGAAAAGAGAAAATAAATCCAATCCAGAAAGAATAAAAACAGCTGGGGGTGGGGAAGGGGATAGCATAAATAAAGAAACAAGAAAACATTAATTAAATATAGGATAAAAATTAAAATAAAATAAATATAGGTAACAAAAATGTACCAAAAGGTATAGTCAGAAAAATATAGAGTTCTTAAAAATTAAAAATGATATAAAGTTTAAAAATCATAGGGTTAAAAATGAGGTGGAGGGCTGAGAATGTGGCATAGTGGTAAAGCACCTGCCTTGCATGCACCAAGGCCCTGGGTTCCATCCCTAGAATAGAGGGGATCAGAGTTAGAGATAATCTTTCAGGAAGTAGAAAAATAGGCAAATACTATACAGAAAGCAGAAGAAAGGCAGAGGCTTATTCTAGTACGAGGTGGCACCACAATGTGAGTTCTGAAGAGAGCTTAGTTAAGGGTCTAGTACAATGGTTTGGGCTGGGTTAAGGGAAATTAACGAGGACCAGGGAAGCCCCACCCTCATCTCAGGACCACCAGCAGCAGAAAGACTTTCTCACACTGAGTGGAACCAGGGAGGTCTGGGGATGGAGACGTGGCCTTAGGAGCTCACCTCCTGCCAACCACAGCAGGGAAAGTGGGAGGCAGGGAACAAATATCCAAACCCTTCCACTGTGTCCCCTCTGGTCTTTTGCTTTCTAATGGCTAACCTCATAAGAGCCAGCTTCCTGGAGCAGGGAACAGGGTAGAGAAGGGGAGGGAACAAGAAAGTTCTAGAAGGGTAAACAGAAAACATTTAGCGCAAGGTTCAAATAAAGTAAGGATAAAAAAGAAAATGCCTCAGAATGACAGAATATAGAGTCTAGATTTAAAATTAAGTGAAACTTTAGCATGTAGCCAACAAACAAAAAAAAAAAAGAGTTTTAAGGTTTTATTGATGAATTTGGAGGTGATTATTGTTAGGTACATAGAAAACTCTGTAAGTAAACAAGCAAACAAAATGTAAGAAAATAACTTCAGAAAACACATAAAGTTGTATCAGGAGGAAGACACGTTAGCTGTAGGTATGAAGCATGTCCTCCTGTTCATTATTGGTCATCATATGACTTGGTCATTTTGGTCAAGTCATATACTAACTTGTCCAAAATTCATATACACTATAGAGACGGGGAGAGGGAATGAAAGAAGGTACATAAGAAAACCAAATGCTGGACCATGTTAGAAATATGGCAATAAATATTGTCTAAGACAGAAAAGAAAAAGTCCTGAAGACACATTCCTAGAAATAGGAAGAAAATTCCAGTACAGATAACAGACCTAAGAGGCTCCCTGAGAGGCAGGGCTCAGTTGATAAGCAGGAGGCTGTGCATCTCTGTTTTTGCTACAAGTGTTGTGACATTGGCCTTTTTAAAAA